CCTCTGGCAAAAGCAGAAAGCCTTTGAACTTCTTGACTGCAGCTGTAGCTTGCACACCTTATTTTCCCTCTTAAAAATCAAATTAAACTGTAACCTACAGCCTCTGCGGTAAGTTTCAAGGAAAATTAAACCGTTGCTAACATTTCTAGCAAAGATAACTGTCTCTAATCAAGCTGAAAAGTCCAGACCCAAATTCCCCTCTCCAAGTTTAGACAAATTCATTGGAGGAAAACTCCAGGGCTTATTAAGTACAAAGATATTACCTTTGACTCAGGAAGTCCTTGGCCACAAATTGCTAGAGACTGGGAAAGTTTGCCAGGAAGGTATTACTCTGTGCTTCCCCTCGTCTTTCACTCCTCCTACTGCATTTACTGCGGATCCGTCCCGGGGGCAGGACACTGGGCAGTTGCTCTGGTCTGCATCTCCGGATCTGAAGTCTAACCCAAATTCAGAGCACTAATGCTAGACTCCTGACTCTTCGCATACAACTCTTGGAAGTGAGGATGTCCTTCACCTCCCCCACCTTTCATTGTTTTCTGAGTCCTGCTGGCAGGAACACTTGGCATTTGACTTGCCCTCATAACATTCATGTTTTTGTTGGAGCTCTCAGAGATAGGATTTTTCCCAGCCTGGATGAGTTGCTGTTATTTCTATAGAGTCAGCAGTACAATAGACCCTCTTGGGAGCCAAGACCTTGTCTGTCTAGTGGCTCAGGCTTACAAAGACTCAATCCTGCATGCTTAACGTTACCCTTTGATTTCCAGGATTAGCGTCTGACTGATGGCAGGTGAGAAGGCAGAACAGCGCAGCACAAAAGGAAAGAAATCAATTAAGTTTACATTGCAACATGTACTCACTCAGGGCCAGGTTAGAGAAAGGTAGAGGACGTTGTTGGCACTGGAAGCAGTGAGCAGACAGCAGTCTGTCTGTCACAGAAGTGACAGTGACAACGGAGAGGATCTTTCCTCTAATGCCTTTTTAATACGTAGACTCCCGATGCTTAATATAATTCACAATATAGCAGTTAATGTCACCACACTATGGTTTTCTTACTTTTCAAAGTTGGCTTAAAAGTTCTCAGTCTCTCTCAGCAGAGTATGTGAAAACTGAGCTAAGGCATGTTAGTCACATTTTTATCAAGAGATTAAAGTGATAGAGATATAAAGTACTACCAGCTTTTAATTAAAATTGAATAAGTGAAAAACAGTTGGCAGTTGCAAAATTCATTATCATGTGTTACCAAAAATAGATACCTTTATGAGAATGCAGTTTTGTTACAACAGTGGGCACTAATTAGATGTAAACATCATGGCTGAGATAGCCAGATAGAAAATGTGCTGCTAATACTCCTAACAGGTTTCAATTAGCTGGAATGGAAAGCTAGAAACTCTTAAGGCTCTTAAAATGTAATCTCTCAGACTACCAAAATAGATGTATGTACTTCTGTTACTTAAGGCAATATCTGAATTTCAGGAACAATAACTTAGCATTTCTGCATCTGGTTTTAATTTGCAAGGAAAACTCAATTTTACAGAAATGTAACCTGACTTAGCTGAAATATGTATGAGTTGGTGTTTTTATTTCTTCTTTTTATAGAACAGTCAGACTTGCAAGTTAGATCCTCCAATCTTTTATACATTTCATTTGGTAAAAAATCCCTTTGACCTTAATAAAAACATCTTCCAGTATGATTTTACAGGTATAGATCTACAGTTTAGAGCATCTTACTGACCAGGATGTATGTGTGTCTTGCGTAATCTCTGCAAAATTTACTGTAATTGAAAAAAGTTATTTTCCTCTCTCCTCCTGTAATCTAGAACATCAAGCAATAACAACAAATCTGTGGGTGGTTTATCTGATTTATGCTAATTTGCTATTGACATGTTTGAGGTATCACTTGCATCATCCCAGTCTTGCATATTTATTATTAAAAATATTAGCTGTTTATGAAAGGGAAATATTTTAAATAATTATTCATTTGTGCTGTGATAACCTCTTGAAACCAGGGCCCCACCCTGGTAGACTGTATACAAAATCATTGCAAATGAAGTGCAACCTGAAGTGTTTAAGATAAGCTTGCAGCAAGAGGATGATTTGAATCCAGGAAGATTACTATATCCCACCTACAAGGAGTGGGTCTCAAATCATGGAATTTCAATGGTTAAACATGAGGCATCTAAATCACCTCCAAAGCCAGTATGAGAAGGAGGTAAACCCAGCCTGTGATTCAGCTCACATAATTTAGAGACCCGAGGCCTTCAGGGGAGACTCAAGCATCAGTACCCAAGCTTGAGCTCATACTTTCACACTTGGATGCTTCAACATACTCTCCTAAATTCTTGTGTCGATACCTAAGTAAGCACACACAGAAGTGATGAGTGAAGTGGTGACGCCTTAGCAAAGTCAGAAGGTGCTGCACGGGGTGAACACTCTTCCAGAAGAGGCCACTTACCTGCCTAACTTGGAGTGCTGAGCTTTAAAAGTAAAATCACAGGCACAGCCCCACATTTTAAAACTTTACCCACCTTCCTTGGCATTTACATATTGATAAAAAAAAAAAGAAAATCATCCTTTGTAAACAATCACCTCTCCTAGATCTTGCTCGTACTGCTGCGTTCTGACTTCACTGACCGATGTGATGCACTGGTACGCTGGAGCTACATGCCAAGCGCATGACAGGAAAGATTAGAGCTGCAGTATGTCAAAATTTGCAGATACATGAATTTAAGGAAATTCTGAATCTCTTGTTCTTTGTTGGCATTACTCATAGGAAAAAAATCAGTATGGTATTTAAATAAAGCAGCCCATGCCAAAGCTGGCACCTACCAATATTTGCAATATTGTTTATCCTTGCTGTCTCAGTGGGATTTCACCCATTGCTTTGTATTTCAAAAGCTTCATTAAAAAAACCCACTTTTTTCCCCCAAACGTTGTATTTTCTTCAAAATACTATGTGTTTATGGTAGAATAAACCTTATATAAAAGCAATCTAAGAAGGCTTTCTTTTCTGAAAACTGGTAACTGATGCAGGTCTTTTTTTGATGTCTATATCATTGCAGTTTCGGTATTTACAGTTAAATTGTGCCCACTTTTTCCTTCTGATTTGCAAGTGTGTTTACTTTTGTTAGGGGGTCAGTATCTGATAAAGGTATGTTAATATTCTTGGAGATGAAAGCCTTAAAATTATTATTGACATTGGACATTTGAGCTCCTTTTCCCCCTGCATCCACACCCTATTGATTGAATGAGGCCTCAGAAACAGAAATACCCTTGATGCTTGCCTGAGTATTGCCCAAGTATTTGCAGGAGTACCTGGGTCAGAAACATTCCTGAATGCTTGGAAAACTCTTGGTATATTGGAATGGAGAGAAGGGCAAGCTCTGTTAAGGAGGAAGGAAAAACATGCAAATAAAACCGGCATACCGAGAGGTGCCGTGGTGGAGCGATGGCTGCAATACCGATGCCAAGAGTACCTCAACCAGAGGTGTGCTGGCTCACATGGCAGTGTGCTCAGTCTAGACTGGGTGTGAGAGATTGTGATTGCTCCAAGAGTGATGTCTGCTGTTATCATCCGGAAGGTGATGGCATTATACAGGCATGCAGGACTGACCATACGTTAGGAAACACTGGTCCTTAACAGATGTGGAAGACTGAATAGCAGGGATGCAAAGATGCAAAGATTGGCTGATAGTGTGCAATAGCAGCAAAGGCAACCAAGGCTGAGACTTTGTAGAAAGCAAATCATGAAGTGACTCTAAACCCTCTGTGTTCACTTGTGTTTCTCACTGCCCCCTTGGCAGTCAAAGCCAACGCAGGCCACTGAAGGATTTCATCCTCTCTGAACCTTGTGTTGCTACATTGCAAACTAGCTTGTGCAGCTAGAGAGAAAAATGTTCTGTTCGGCTTGGACTCCTTGACGACTACACCCCAGGGCACTGCTGCAAAAACATTGCAGAACCACCCCAAAGGAATGGAAAGTTAAGGCAGGTGTTAAGCTTGCTATTATTACCAGATAAGATTTAAAGATAAACAAATACATTCAACTAAAAGCCTAGATTCACAATAACAGAACAAAGTTAGGAAAAGATAAAACAACACGTATACATTTATTAAGGTTATACTTAGCAATACATATCCTCCTTAGCTGCTCCTGTGTCTCAGCTTTTGACTCTGGCTAATTAGTCTCTGCATGGAATCCTGGGCTGGCGTGCCCCTGGGTACGCAGAGTTGCTTACACCTTGCCTTCTTCTTCTGGTGAAGGCGGGGACCTGCATCTTCTCTAGCTTAATCTTGTTTGTCCGCCCCTCATTCCCTGGCATTGGGCCACCAGGTGATCCCTGGGAGATCAGTATTTCATTCTGCCCCTCCTCCTTAAGGTTACTTCAGTAACATTTCTATTGTCCATCTCAAATAACACTTTCTTGGCTTTTGTTTTTCACTAATTATAGTCTTGTTAAAATACAGCAGCATCACTTTACAAATCATGCATTACGATAAATAGTACAAATTCCTTGTAAAGTATACACTCTGTATGCAGGCTATACAGCAAGCCCATTTATGACATTCAAACACAAACTGATCTTGAGGGTAGGACTGCCAAATCTGCAAAAGCTCCACCTTGTCCTTTGTGAGATTTTGGGGACTCATCTGCATATTCCTGGGTTTTGGTGAACTTGAACAGAGAATACCAAAGGCTTTGCATATATTCAGGCCAGCTTGCTTTCTCTCCCAGCCCTCCTTTCTAGCACTGGCTATAAATAGGCACACACACACGCGCACAAAACAGTGGTTACCATTTAAAAATCCACAATTTCTAACAGAGACTATAGTACAGTATTTTTTGCAGTATCTTGTTCAGGGAGTGGTACAAAAATATGTTGTGGCATCTTAGATAGCATTGTGAGATAATGCTTGGCAAATGCTGGATTTTATTTGCTTATTTTAAGTATTGGCTATCTATATTAAATATGAAATGAAAATTGTCTTGTTTCCCATTATAGTTTGTCGTCAATCAGATAATGATAATGAGGCCATTGAACAAATCGATGAAGACATAGCCGTGACTCAGAGTCAGATGAACTTTATTTGCCCCATTACACAGGTATGCTATCACTGCTACGATAATCGATTGGGAAATAGTTATTTCGTATTCTTCATTGGATTGTTCATTACAAATCTGCAATACTTGTTAAAAATCAGGCAGTATAAATCACAAGCATTATCAGAGATGAACAACATTGCTTGAGAAAAAAACCCACGTAAGTAGGAATGCAGTTTACCATGCAGGACCTGACCCTGTAATTTGAGTGGAATGCCATGTATGAATGGCAAACACGCTTCCTGCTGTTTTACATAAAATCTCATAAGAAGCATTTTCATGGGCATTATCAGTGCCTTTAAATCAAACCTTATTGATTACAGATGGAAATGAAGAGGCCAGTTCGAAACAAAATCTGTGGACATACTTATGAAGAAGACGCCATTCTAAAAATTATCCAGACTCGAAAGCAGCAAAAGAAAAAAGTCCGGTAAGCTAATAAGAATGTGTGGAAAAGCTATTTGCTTTGCTGTGTAAGTGGAATTTTATTCCACTTGTTCAAGGAAATGTATTTGGATTGGCAAGGCTGCAGGAAGTAATACCTCAGTGTCTGCCCAAGTCACAGTCTCCTCATTAGTACTGTACACGTGAAGGAGCTTTTCTTTTTAATGAAAACAATGTGTAAGGAAATACTCAGGAAGCGTGTGGGGAAGTTACAGCTACTCGTGGTACCTGCGCAACAGAAGCAAAGAGATTTCGTATAGCCATGAACAACAAAGAGAAACTTCAGCTTCCTAAAATGTAGTTACTCATTTTGTTCCCACTGCTTATTTAGCAAGCCCTGAATGTAATGGAAGAAAAAAAAAAGTCTCCTCTGTGCATCCTCTTCTGCAGTTATATTCCAGTACAACTGAGAAATATTAAAACACTTAAATGAGTGTTGAAGTGAGAAATATTAAAACACAAGTCTTTAGGTAGTACAGAGTTCAAGAATGATCAGACAGAGAGAGCTTTAAGAATGATCAGACAGGATTGTGCAGTTCCTACTACAATGCAATTAAATAATTCTTACTTTGTATCGTGAAAGCAGCCTGCCACTTTCTACACAGGACATTTTTTTTTTAGTGAAAATATATAACAGTTGAATTTTTAAACCTGAACTTCTTGCCAGTAAGTTTCAAATTTAGGATGGTTTTGATTAAAAAAAAAAAAAAAAGGAGAAGAAAAGGGGCTCAAACTCTTTTTAGAGTAAGTTTAGAGGACATACCACTTCATCATTAATTTCATGTTTGTTTTTACACCATATGTGCTAGAGCCTCATGCTTTGGGGTTGATGACCTCATGGAAACTTACCAGTTGTGGACTTTTTAATAAATGTGCAGTTTGCACATGCTCAGGAAGGTCCGTCAGAGACTAGCAACCTGATTTCCCCAAAGATAATGCCCCAGGCAGATTACTTCCTCCATCCGTTGCTCTTGCGTTTCTGTTAGGCTCTGCATACTCCGCCACGGGGATACAAAGGTGGAGAGGGACTTTTTATTCCACGCTCCTTCCTGGCTACAGAAAAGCACTGCTATGAAATCAAGCATCAGTTGGGATGCCCAGCCACTACCTCAGTGTCAAGACGGCTTGAAGAACAAGACCAAAGTACCTTGCCTGTGTTATAAGGTCTAGGGAGAAAAAGTGGAGTGGGTGCAATGTACTGGGAATAACAACAAAACCAGCAACATGGATGGACAGAAACTTGGCTGGAAAAATGAACAGGAGTTGGGAAACAGCTCACAAGTTGGAGAGAAGAAAGTGAGAGTTCTGGAAGATAGGGACAGGATAGGAAGGATGTGCTCAACAGCCCAAAACCATGACAAAAATACCTTCTGCAATACAGAACTGAATTTATCTACATATCTAAATAATTCTCTGTATTGTTAAATCCATCAGGAAAATGTCATGGTAGTAGAGACTGTTGTGGTGAATCAAAAGTTTCAGCGCTGCTGAAAAACTAATAGGGTCACATGACTGAATTTTTATGTTATCTTCTAAGAAATTAAAGACTTAGAGAAAATATAGAGTAAAAAAAAAATCATGTAAGCTGTACAATGTTTAGCTTTAAAAGCTACCTTATACCCAAACTGAAGTTACTTGTGCAGTCTGAATCCTGGCAGTTCTTAATTTTGAGCTTTTAGCTTTCAACCTTACCATTTTTACAGCAGTTATCCCAGTATGCTAGAAAAGCACAAGCACAGCAATAACTCGGCTTCTCTGTAACTAAGTTGAGAAAGACTGCTTGGTTTTCTCTGCCCAATCTCACTGACCTGCTGTAATTTTAACCTTTCTCGTGAAAATGCAGTCAGTTTTGAAAAACCATAGTCAGCTGTGGTGGGAAGACAGGCGTGTTGATGCAACAAGTTCCCCATCTGAGTACCCTGTTCTCGTGGTGTTGCTACTCGACTGCACTCCTGCCAGCAATATTCAAGTGGAAGCAGGTATCATGATAGAGCAGAGTCGTGGTTAGGGGGATCCTCTCTATCCCCAATTCTGAAATCAAAGCTGTTGCTCACTCTGGAGTTCCAGAAGTGGCTGTTTCCTCACACGTACTTTCCAGTCTGAATCCACAGGATCCCTTCGGTGCCCTTGGCAGTGCACTGGCTGAATGTCAGCTCTTCAGCCGACGTACGCACAGCCACCGGTTTTGTGCTGATAGACTTGCTATAGACTCCTTTAGGCAATTCTTACATGTTTTGGTTTGCTCACTATTTCCACTGCCTGGAAGGACATACTAATACTTTATGCTTACAGGAAACGTGGGAAACTTTCTGAGCACTTGTTATTCATTAATCTGGCAAGCTATTGCTCTAATAAGGTGATAAATGGGAAAACTGAGGCACAGAGCAATTAAGTGACTTATCCATGACAAACACAGTAAGCTGTGGACAAATTGGAGTATAAGCTATGAGTACTGAGTGTAAATAAGTTCAGCATCTCAGACAAAAGTTACTCCTAATCAAAGAGAAAATTCAGGAAAAGCGTTATTTCTGAATACCATCAGTGCACGTTTGGGCCACCACCAAAGGAAAATGACCTTTGGTCCTTGAATATCTTTCACCCTGCTGTCTTTATCTGGCTGTTTCAAGTAGTTGTAAGACTTTTTGTATTTGATTATCATTTAGAGGCTGTTAATTTGACCCCATCTCTCCTTTCTGTGCTTTCTCAGTTCATAAAAGGCCAGGTAAATTTTTACACCAACTAGATAGCCCACTGATTCACCAGTCAGCCTTTGCAAGTCTCATTCTCTTTTATCTATTTTCCTAGAAATAATTTTCCCTATTTATCTATCTATCAGTAAAGATTATACTTCTCCACTGCAGATTAATAAGGTAAGAGGTAGTTACCTGCAGTTTGTAGAGGTCTGCAAAGAGAGAAAACAACACAGAACCATGTCCATGCAACACTAGTATCATTACTGATGCAGGCAGCTTGTGTACCTGAAGCAAGGGAGTGATCTACAGGTGAGAGGCTCCATCTCTCACTGTGTTCCTTCCTTTCTTCAGCTGCTGATTCCCACCAGTTTAGATAAATGGATTTATTTTTCTCCACAGAGAGCTAGTGAAGAGGAAAAGAGGTAACGAGGAACTGACAGAGAGAGTGAATCCCAGATAAATACAATAAACCAGCGGATGTTATGTAAGGCCTATATCTTGCCAATTCCATTTTTTCGGTTTTATTGGGTTTTTTTTTACTGATGCAGGCAGCTTGTGTACCTGAAGCAAGGGAGTGATCTACAGGTGAGAGGCTCCATCTCTCACTGTGTTCCTTCCTTTCTTCAGCTGCTGATTCCCACCAGTTTAGATAAATGGATTTATTTTTCTCCACAGAGAGCTAGTGAAGAGGAAAAGAGGTAACGAGGAACTGACAGAGAGAGTGAATCCCAGATAAATACAATAAACCAGCAGATGTTATGTAAAGGCCTATATCTGACAAATACAATTCTTCCGATTTAATGGAGTCTCTCTTTTCTTTTTAACAGATGCCCTAAAATTGGCTGTAGCCATGCTGATGTAAAAGGATCAGATCTTGTGCCAGATGAAGCACTTAAAAGAGCGATTGACAGTCAGAATAAACAAAGCTGGTCAACACTGGAGAAGTCAGCTGGATACGCTGCTGCCACAAAGGAAATTTGTTATTAGAGGTCTTGTGAGATAAGCTGCTGATTGTAAGTAGGTTGTGTAACTGATTGTTATTTAAAGTGTTTCATTTATAGGCAAAATTGAAGGTCTCAGCTGTAACTGAAATCATTTTTTAAACTGCCAAATATGAGGAATTCCAGTTTATCTTGTTTTTTTTAACCTTCCTGAAATTCTGAAAGCTCGCGTTTGATAAATAAAACATGTCTTGCAGCATTTAACCTTCCTTGTCAGTGTGCTAATTTTTTCAGCATATTAGAGGTGCAGATTCTGCCAGCATGTAATAGCGAGTGCTTTGCTCAATAGTGCAGATAGTTCTGTTACTGTCTCCGTAACTGCTGGGAATACTCGGAGCAGGGTACTCTGACCAAGGACTCACCCAAGTCATATACCCTGCTTGGGAGCACGTCTGTGTTTTATTGCAAACCTCAAGAAACTTTAATAGAGCTTAATTTGCAGGAAGGGCTGCACATCTGCACCCTGTGTGTGGACACACAAAATTACCACTCACCTCTGACGATCTTGCCCTTGTTCTTATAATTATTGAACACCCTAACCTATGCTTTTCTTTTGAGATTCAGAAGCTTTTGTTTCAGGCTTTTGCGTTTGGAAGTCCCAGGGGGCTTTACCTTAATACTGTAGGTTAGGAGACTACAGTTATTTATAAATTTATTCCAATAACTAATTTGTAGATAATACAAATCCATTGTATCCATATGCCTTGAACTGAAAAGCAGTTAATCTCATTTTATATAAGCTTGAGATATCTATGCATTTGGGCACAGATCCAACAAAGGAGTTAGTTAAGCTTTGTGACACTCCGTATCTATTACCTAAATTGATTTGAACACATCTAGCAGATAAGGCACTACATATATGAATTAGAAATAGCCATAGGTAAAAGGAGCTGCCTTGGTGGTCAGGTGGCAATTATCTCTTGGCGTATGTGAAGCAGAAAATATAGGTTTCTCTGAGCTTTGGGATCCTTAGCGGGTTAGATGGCATTTTCCTACGTCATTTTTCTGAATTTACAGTCTGACATTTAGAGTAAAATGTAGCTAAGGTACCTAAATGCTGAGCTTTTCACTCTGGGTTACTGTTTGCTAACAGCTTTCCTTTCGTAGACCATTATTAACCCCAATTGCACTTAAGAGTGCAAACCACTTCAAACTGAAATTGTTATTTTGTAATTGAAGAATATTAATCTGCAAGCTGATTTCATAGGTAAAAAAGGGAACTGAACCATTATTATTTGCACTGAGCTTTTGTGTTCAAAACACTTCATGGGCATTAGCTGGGTAATTTTCATAATGTGGTCTAACCCCAAAGGTCCGTCTTTTCAAAACTGAGCAGTGATCATGAGTGCTTCTGTCTATGGAAGCCCAGCTGAAATAGCTGAAAAAGAGTTGAGCAGTATGTACTTGTTTGTGTTTTTATGTGTAAAAATCAGGTCCCTTTTAAGACGCCTCAGGTCTCAAACCTATAGTTTTTAAGATGGGTCACCGATTTTCAGTTAAATACCACAAGGGAGGATGTTAACCATAGCATTTGTCAAAAAGAAAAAAAAAAAGGCGGGGGAGGGAATGTCCTAAACTGTTCATAGTTTTTTGTTTCATCTTTAAGTTTGTGGTTAAATTTACTCCAGCACCACTTATAAGCAGAACACTCAGAAACAGACACTTGCGTTAGTTAAACAATCCCTGCAGTTTCTGACAGGGGTGCATTAATGTTGTCCTCACGGATCTAATTCAATCCCTAGTGGTAATCAGTCTCCCAAGTTTTCAGATGCAAAGATGTACACACATTTTACACGGCCGCAGTGTTGCACCTCAAATTTAGTTCGTGCAGGTGTCTGGATGATTGAGCGTGCCTTCCAATAACACATAACATTATAAATACTGAATTACACACAGATTAATTCATACCGACAAACTGCTGGCAGCAGGCTTGGTTTGCTACGTGCGGTGTTTGTACCGGTATACCCTTGGATAGCTACAGTTCCTGATATGGTCATTACCCTCATGGTCCAGTGAGTAATGCCATAAGGGAGATTGCTGCCTTGGTTACACCTTGTTGTCATACGTTAAAGAGAGAGGCTTGACCCGTAGCAGTGCTGATGGCCCTAGTGGAAGCTGCACTCAATCCGTCTGTGTTAGCTAATCCACAGGTAATAGTGCGAACTGCCTGCTTAAGATGATGCAGCTGGGAGAAAAAACAAACAAATCTGAAGCAACGCTTTAAATGAAGAGAACAAATAGTCAAGCACTCACTCATTGCCACTCTAAGTGGAAAGGTATTTTTGAATGTTCACATTCCTGCCTCAAAAGACACGATCTTCCTTCTCCCCTTTGCTAGCCTGAGCCAGGCAGCATCCGTGAATCAGAGCGCCTCAACAGCAAGTGCAGGTGCAGCCTAAATTCTGAAATCCTTCTCCGTCTTCAGCTGAAAGAAATGGACTGATTTTTGGCAGCACTTACCTGCTTAGCTTTAATAACAATTGCATATGAGGTGAAGAGGCATGTGTATTTAAATAGAGGTAGGTGTCTTTCTTTTATCATCAGAGAGACCTCTTTTCAAGTATGGCCACAGCCATATTATCCAGAAAAAGACAGATACTCATGCACTTATGTCAGGATTGCTGATGAGAGTACTTGAGTCCCGTCAAAATCAGTGATGCACCACATCATAGATTCAACTGCTAGAGAAAACTGCCTGTATTTACTGCAATCAATGAAGTACTCCCCAAAATGTTTCGCATTTCTGAATTTAAGCTATATCATAACATCCAAGGAATCCTAGTATGATGAGTGAATTTTTTTTTCTCTGAACCTGGGATTTGAGCCATCCTGTTGATTTTTCACGGCTGGTTCTCTCTTGTTGTTGGTTCGTACAAGTAATTTTCCTTCTGAAATGGAAAGATTACAGGCTGGGTCATCAGCATGAATTGCAGCTGGCACTTTACTAGGTGGAAGGACAGACTTGCCTCGGCAATTGGGGAAGGCTTCTGTGCCTGTCAGCTGACCTGGTGGAAGTTATAATCCGCTACTGATTCATTCGGGTGGCTGTAGTTACTGGCAGCTCTTTTGCTCTTTCATTTGCAAAGTTTGGGGGTTGTTGTGACCTCTCTGTTCCCATGTGTCCCGTGTCCCCTATAAACTCCGCTCTGGACAGAAGTAGCTTGAAAGAGTTAAAGAATAAAAATAAATGTCTGTGATGAATAAGCTGATCTGTATGATTCACAGAAGTGGAAACCCAACAGCAGTTAAACCTTCAAAACTTAATCTGTTTTGGCTATAAGATATCATATGTAAACAGGCATATGTTAACAGTTCACAGGGTAATTTGTGTCTCATTGTTTGACGTCAGAAATTTTGCAACAGTATTTAAGGAAAGAAACCCAGAGGTGAGGTGGTGTTTTTTCTTTTCCATAAGGGGTGCTTTACAAATGCAGCAAACCTCAATGTAGCTGATAAGGGTCTGTCACTGAAACCTGGCGAGAATCTGTCTCTGCCAGAGAACAGAAGTTCCACGTAGTATTTTGAGCGATTAAAGAAATGTCTAATCAAACATTAAAATAAAGGCAAGAGAGATCTATACGCAACAGCTTTCAGTGGCACCCCGAGGCACGAGCCATTAACACAGCTCTCTCACTTGAACAGATTCTCCCCGTGAAGCAGAATTCTCCGTTTTACAACTAGAGACTCTGAAGTTTTCAAGTCAGTGGAGCCATGACGTGTAAAGATAAAAACTAATCAGGCAGGCATCTCATGGAAGATTTAGCACACTTGTGCTAAAAGGAGCGCACATTCCTCTGAATCAAGGACATATTCATCATTACTGCTCTGGAGCTGTGATCTTATTCATTCTAGAAGAATCAAAAAGACTAGGCTAAGTCAGTGCTCTCTTGAGAAACAGCCGGAGCAAAAGCAGGGGCTGCAGGAAGTGATACCGATGACTCAACAGCCAAGGCCAACACACTGCCTTATTTTAGACAATGTCCTCTTGGACATACTCATGTTTCCTCATGAGCGGCTGATGACAAAGGTCTTACCTACCTGTGGTCACAAGTACCTCATGACGTTTTTCTCAAGAATAGGTCTGGTATTGTGGCCAAAACTAGCTTAGAATTCACTGTGCAACTTGATTAACTTCCACTGCTGTTTCAAGTGAACGTTAATCTCCGCCTTCCCTAAAAATCTCCATGTACGGATCCTGAGGTACTGTGCGGTCCATTAACTGAACATTTCCGTAACGGATAGTGCTCTGTTATACAGTGAAGAAGATGCACCTAGGAAAGGGGCTTCCTGGAGTGGAAAATGTTAGAATATCCCAAGGACAGGTCTTCCTTTCTCTTGCTACAGCCAAAGCCTTAAGCTGATGGCTCCTCACTACAAGTACAGACTAGTACTGACTGCAAATTCCAAGTCTTTCATGAATAATGATTTATTTTCTGGTCATAAAGTACTTACTGTTAATACATATTATTTCAAAGACACAATGTGGTCACAGCAATGCTCAGAGGACAATCCTGTGTGTAGGTGCCAGCGGATTCTAGGCTGCCAGCCAGTAACTATAAGAAGTAAAAACATTAGGTTGATTGTTAAGCAAGTAAAATTCTGGGATGCGTGTACATCGTACAGTAGATACCCATGTATGTGCTTAGCCTCTTGATGCATGAGTAATCTCAGCGACTTACCATGACTGTGGCAACGAACAGAAAACACAGTGTGTTTCATCATTTCAAAATGCTGCAGAAAATGTTGCGGTGGGCTGAGAAGAGAGCCTGCCTCGCTCGCTTATTCTGATGATAGTCCAGACCCGAAGACAGAGCTTGAAAGTACGCACATGAATTGAATTGCATGGGAAGCTTACCAAAGGAAGTGTTTGCTTGTAAACTCAGTATGAATAGGATCTTCTCTGACCGCAAGGGAAATGGAGAGACGCTCATTCACTGTCCGCTTGTGCAATCAACTTCTGAAGTAAAAACAGGATTTGAGGTTTAAAACCTGAACCTTCACACGTCTTTCAAGCAACAGAAGAAGCCTTCATGCTCTTTAGTCTGCAAAGGAACAAAGTCAGGAGGTGCTGCTCATGAGACTCCTTGGATGTGATAACAACTGGCTTATCAAAAGGGAATTATTTAGAGTTCCTTGCAACAGCAATGCTCAGAGCAGCTTCTGTGCGGGCTTGAGGGGAGACATCTGAACACCATTACGTTGCGCTCCTTT